TTAAGATTTTTGGCAATATCATTTTTGAAAGTAGACTACTAACTACTGTGACACCTTTTAGCCATCAGTAGTTTTTACTTGTTAGTCACAAAGGACAGTAGCTATTGCTGGCCACCTGCAGTTGGAGCACCTTATTAGGCACTTTTCAGAATTACCAGTCTCCAGCCCTGCTCAGCCCATGAAGCTCAGTCTGTTGACAAAGCTTGTGCTTTCTGACTTTACTCTGAGGGACTCTCCTCCTTTAGGACTATGGTCAAGCTGAAGTGATAACTATTGGGACACCTACTCCTTGCCAGGTTTCTCCTGCCAGGCACTATCTCATTGGGCTTTGGGAAAAGCCCCTAGGAGTAGGCAGGTACTGGTCATCTGTCTCTGTGACAGCAGAGAGACTTCTGAGGTCAGATAATGTGCCCCAAGTCTCTGAGCCTAGGAAGTGTGGGTCTGCAGCTGAGCTGGGCTAGTTACTGCTAGTTACACACTTCTGACCACTACTAGTCTAAGTCTAGCCACAGTGTGCTAGTATCAAACTCAGACTTTTGGCTCGTGAACAAATGCACAGAGGTAGGGCAGAGGACCACTGGTCCTCATCATCTTGATGAACAGAAATCTGATTGCACTGTCCTTCTTTAACTCCCCTGTGAACTGCTGGGAAGGGCAGTGCCTGTATCCTTAGGGTCCTGCCATGATCCCTAAGCACTGTAGATGCTAAACACGGGGTAACTGGCTGAAGTGGTCTTTGGCACAGCCTCTGTAACTCATTGCTAGAATGTCTTGATAGTCTTTGAGTGGCTTGTTTTCCACTGGAATACATTTCTTTGCTTTGTAGGAATTTGCAGCACCACCACTGGATGCCCCTGATAGAGGATATGTTGGTGAGTTAAATATTCTTGTAATTCAACAAATACTTGAGTAAGTTTAAAGCTAACTATTGTAGGGAAGTGCTGATAATTGCGGTAGTGATTCCCCATGTTCAGAAATAGATTAATACTCCCCTCATCTCAAAGCTTTGTGCTTATTAGATTGTAACAGAGGCAAGGAACACATGAACTTAATTTTGCCAACCTCTTATGGGTCTGTTTACACATTGAGTTGTACACATTCCTTATCCAAGGGGTAGTAGATACAGGCTGTCATTGCAGCCTGAAATCTGTCTGTACTCAGTTTAGACTGGGCAATATTTTTGGTCTTGGAATATCTTTTTAAGGTAGAAACCAATTTAAAACGTTAATAGTTGGGTGTGAGCACAAGATTGTCCAACTAGAGACAGGTATTGGAGAAAGAAAAATAAACAGAAAAACTATAAAGAACTATGTATGATTGAAGTATAAGAAACTTTCTAAGCTGTGTGGGAAAACTTTAGACAAGCTTAAATTTCTTTTTCTCTCAGCCAGGCACTCACAGAAATAGTAATTCTAACACAGCCAAGCTTTCTACCCAAAGCTATCACCTGTGCTGTGGAGCAGTCCCTGTACTAGGAACTTCAGCTGGCAGGGAGTGAAGTTTAGTTCATAGCTGTAGTGTTTCTTTCAGTCCCTAACGTGGATCTACCACCGCTGTGTTCATCGAGGTTTCGGACTGGACCTCCTGGAGAAGAGGCCCAAGTAACCAGCCAGTTCATTGCAGATGTCCTTGAAAAGTAAGACTGTTATGATGAAATTTTACCACCATGAGTTATCAAATGTTTTGCCTTCACATTCATTATGTTCTTTATCATTAAATCAAGCTCACAGATAATTAAGAAAGAGGACTTATGCATTTCTCCAGGCAAGGTAAGAACAGAGCTCTTATGAACTCTGAAGTGGCTGTGTGGTCTACTGTGGTAGTGGGGATGAATCAAATGAACCCTGAGATTTGAGAGTTTAGAAAGGATTCTGTAATGGTTCCTTTTATTCCTTAATTGTTTAAATAAATCATTGCTTCATAAATCCTTTCCAACTGGGTTTTTTCAGTTTGATGAACGAGGCTAACACTGTATCCTGGCTGGTTTTTACCTGCTGGTTCTTCCTAGTCTCCAAAATGCTGGGAGTACAGTCTTGTGCCAACATGTCCAGCTAACTAAACTTTCAAGCTAAGGTTACAGACACACACACTCACATGCACACTTCAAACCAAGGTTACCCCCGCCCCCAACACACACACACACACACACACACACACACACACACACCTTTCCTCTTAAAAAAAATAAAAAGGCTGTTTACATTGAACCCATATGGTATCTTCCTACAATGGCTTCCTTTGCTAATTTATAGTGCTAATTATAATTAGCACGTAAAACTGTACGTTGTACATCATGTGAGTACAGATTACAGCTGGGCCTTTCATTTGCTAACCTAACAGTAAGAACACTTCCTCTTTGCACCTGTATCTGTTTAGGAAAATGGACAATTTCTTGCTTGTTGGTTTGCTAGTCAAAGCCCAGCTTGCCTAAGCTGACCACTTTCACTTATACTGTATAAAGGTTAGGGAAAAAAATGTTAGGCTTTCAAGTCTATCTTAACTTGTCTATCAGTGGTCCTGTAATTCTTAGGCCTAAGGCAACAGAAATAATCTGTTACCAGGTCTAACTTCTTTTGTGTGAACTATTTTAGCTTGCTTGGGTTCTATACTGTGACCTTATTTGCCTCGACTATGATGGAAATATTTTGGATGCCTGCACGTTTGCTCTGTTAGCAGCTTTAAAGAATGGTAAGCAGTCTTAATAAAAAAACATTTTTTCCTGCTAATATGATCAGAGTCCAGTTGGTCAAAACCTTTTACAGGGTTTTCTTGAGATTTAGTTATCATTCATATTTTTATTTTGTAAGACAGTATCCCATAGTCCAGGCTGGCCTTGAATTCCTGATCCTACCTCAGCTTCCCAGATGCTGGTACCTCCTAAGTTAGTCAACTTTGCATGGGTTTTCTAAAAATGGACGTCCTAGTTTTATGTTCTGTAGCCTTTTAGAATCTCTGACTGTCTCCACCTGTAGTCATTAGGGCAGCAGCCCTTCCCAGAATTCACTTACTTAGATAGGGCATTCTCACTATAGTCCAAATGGCTTGTGCAGAGACCATAAATATCTCCTGATGGTGATGTTTCCTGGATAACTTGGTATTGTCTTGGAATATCACTTTTGCACATTCCAGGTCATTCTACATTGCTAAATGGACAATAAAACTAAGCCAGGCATGGTTGTCCATGCATGTAACCTTAGCTCCCAGGAAGTGAAGAGGATGGCAGGCAGATTGAGGCCAATTCAGACTTCAAAACAGTATCTTCTCTATATAAAATATCCAACTAACTTAGAGTGGTACTGGTGTAGTCCTAGTTAATCATCAGTCCAGCCTGCTTGCTTCTTCTGTAGTAAAATGGTACTGAAGAGTAGCACTTACTACTTTGGGAGGGCAGATGAGCAAATGAGTGTTATAAAATAGGTACTCCCAACTGGGCATTGGTGGTGCTGTTGGTGTGGGTGCTGTCAGTAGTGCTGGTGGCAGCACATGTACTTAGGAGGATGTTTGAGTTTGAGGCTAGCCTGGTTACATAGTGAGTTCTAGGATTGACAGGGCTACACAGAGGAACCCTGTCTGGAGGTGAGGTGGAGATGGGGGGTTAAAAAACCAACAGTTTGGCTGGAAAACAATATGTACTGAGAAGCGGTCTTTACCATATTTACCTCAGTTGTTTGAGATACTTACAAACAAAACTATACTGATACCAGGTGAGTAGCACACAACTCAATCCCAAAGTGAGTCCCAAGCTAGATGGGCTATATAGTGAGATCCTGCCAAATAACTGTTCTGGATAAGCTAACTTGGGAAAAGTTATGAAAGGACTAAAGTGAGGCTATATACTATATCCACCTTACATGTTTACTTGCCTTTTTCTAGTACAGTTGCCTGAAGTTACTATAAATGAAGAAACTGCTTTAGCAGAAGTTAATTCAAAGAAGAAAAGTTATTTGAATGTTAGAAAAAACCCAGTTGCAACTTCCTTTGCAGTGTTTGATGAGTAAGTTAACCAAAAGTACCATTCTAAGATAATAGACTGTAATTTAGCTGTCTTTACAAGAAATAAGGGAGCTTCTGTCTGCATTGCATTCTAATATACAGGACCAATTCTGTGTTCACCTTTCTTGCCCCTATGTTTCTTTATGTTCTTTTTCCTGGATGGTGATGGGGAATGTATGGGGCCTGTTCATACTAAGCAAGTGGTCCATTGCTGAGCTATGCTCCAAACTACTTAACTACGATATAATCTTCTGAAACTGTCTTCAGTATTTGCTGCAGAACCCAAGCTGAAGAGCAAGGAGTTTATAAGTATTGGGCTGCAGGGTACTGCCACTCTGGCTTCTTCCAGTCCTGGATTAGCTCTTCCATAGGCTGAAATCAAAGCAGGTCTTTTTAGTACTGTTTGAAATCAGTCTCTTCCTAGAATTGAAACCCTTTCCCTCCTCCCTTTAACATTTTTCCCCCCCACAAATGTAGCACTTTGCTGATCGTTGATCCTACTGGAGAGGAGGAACACCTGTCAACAGGAACCTTAACGATAGTAATGGATGAGGAAGGCAAGCTGTGTTGTCTTCACAAGCCAGGTATGTTCTTCCCACTGCAGTTTTAAAGGCTGGTGGGGAGTAGTTGTCAAGTGGAGTGTGGGATGCTTGACTGTTTAGCTGATGGGAGTTTATGGGCTTCTTTGCATTTCAGTATTGTGTATCATTCCTAAACTCAGGACTTATCTGTTTTCTGCAGTCTTCTAAAATTAACCTGTAGGATCTTGAAATCACACCATGTGATTTAGATGATGTCTGATTTAAAAATAAACATTTGATACGATCATCAATTTTCACAAAGTAATGGAAACACTGAACATTGGCACAATTTTTCAGGAGGGAGTGGACTTACTGGATCTAAACTTCAGGACTGCATGAGTCGAGCAGTTTCGAGACACAAAGAAGTGAACAAGTTGTTAGATGAAGTCATTCAGAGTATGAAACACAAATGAACAGCCACCACCATTGCAAAACAGCTGTAAAAATTGTATTTGTTGCACTGTGCACAGGCTTTTTGTACTAAATAAATACCAAACTACATTCTTTTGGAAGATATTTCTAGTAGTTCTTCGGTTATTTCTGTAGATGGTTATGTACAGGAAAACATTTAACCATGTCTCCATGTAAGCATCATAGGGTTGTCCTTTTGTATAAAGTATGCACATCTATCAATGTAAAATACTGACATCTTGGGGGGAAATGAAGTAGAAATGCAGTTCTTTTCATTCACTGGTCTTGTGTTTAAAAAAAAAAAAAGAAAGAAAGAAAAATTGCTCAGAATTTTGGAGTGGTTGGCATGCCTCTCTTCACTTTACTCTTTGATTGGCTGCCTGTATGTCGGTGACGATGTAGCTGGGCTGTTTGTGCGGCGGCTGCTGCCATAGCCATCTGATGTTGCAAGAATCTCAACTGCTGTAAAAGGAAGAAAAAAAAGGAGATGACATTATGTTAAATGCACAGGTATGGCAAGGTGCTTCCCCAGGAGTGATGAAAGCAAGAGCATGAGGTAACAAAGGGTACTTCCCCAAACCCGGATAGTGCAGGGGCCTGCTGAGGGCTTTAAATACAATTCTTGAAAATGATGTAATTATCAGTTACTTAGCCCCGGCAGTCCATAATGCAGTAATGCAGCAACTTCAGTTACCATTTTGCTGTATGATGATCATTCACAGCAAAACGAGTCAATCATAGTATGCTAACACCCTTTCCTAAAATAATAGGTAACATTTTTCTAAACATGTATTGACATTTACTAACAGGAACACTCCCACAGTACAGAATCATAAAGTTAATAAATGGTACTTAAAACTAGTTCAAAATACAATGCAAATTAAAAGAGGTGTGTGGAATGTGTCACCAAGGCCTTAAAAGAGATTTTAAAGCATGCATTGTTACAAAATACACTCAGTGCTCTAAGCTTACTTGTATTTAAAATATCAGACTCCTAAATCAAACCTAAGTTACTGACCAATTGCTTTAGCCTTAACAGACAGGAAAGCAGCCCTACTGCAAGACAGTGCACAGTACTTTTGGAACTCAGGGTCTTAATTAATCAAGTGAAGCTGCTGGATTACTTGAATCTGCTGCTGCTGCTGCTGTTGTTGCTGCTGCTGCAAGGCAGAGGAGAGCTGGAGTCTCTGTTGAAGAAGGCTTTGGTCAGGTCTGTTCTCGGCAGAGTTAAGCTGAGACAACACTACATGAGAAGGGGAAAGCAGGCCAGTTAAAAGTTTGAAGGCAACCGGGGTTAGAAAACACAACATAGAAAATGAGAAAAATAGACGTTACCTGAAGTATCAAATCATACATATTTCAGAATAAATTTAATCTACTAATTAAGGGTATCACTGATTCCAGAACATTCTGGCCATACAGAGAGAAGGGAGTACCCAGACTAAGACTAAGGTACTGTATTCCTTCCCTCTCTCCTTTTTTTTATTTCTTTTGAGAGTGTCTCATCCTAGGCTAGCCCCCAGAACTCACTATGTATTAGAGGTTAACCCTGAACTCCTGATTCTCTTTTCTCCACCTGTAGAATACTTAGGTTATAGGTTTATACCATTGTATCCAGTGTTCTGTAGTACTGAAGCACTCCAGCACCTCAGCTGCATGCATCCTGCCTCCATGGCAACCTCTTTTACATCTCCATGGAACTTGATACTGTTGGACCATGGTCTGGAAGCCACCCTTATATGATGTAAAAGCAGTACGTTCTTTTAAAATCCAACATTCAGTGAGCCCGCAGATGTGAACTAAGACTTGCAGCTGATGGGCCATCCCAGTCATTCCACATTCTCAATAAAGTGCAGGTAAAACAGCGGACTTGCAGACTTGGCCTAAGTGACTGCAATTTGCCTGAAGCCAGACAAATGCTCATCATCTGTCTACCATTCTTTTCACAAATTTACTATGCCTATTTAGAAAAACTATAACTTGTTTGGTAACAGTACATTAGTTACAAAGCTGCATTTGGACTAATTCTAAACTACACCTCTATGTTAAGAATTACTCAGTAGATTACTCCTACTGAGTAAGGGACATCTAATTTTGAAAACTGGTGGTTAAAGAAATCTAAAGGTACACTCAGCACACAGATAATTCACTGAATCCTCAAGTTCCATTATAGCTTTGTTAATTTTTTAATACAATCCTATCGTGTGACTTACTGAAATGTGAAGTCAGAATTCAATACAGGATTACCTTTTGTTTACTACTTCCTACTGAGAGTGGGAGCATTCAAGTATCATTTATTTTTATAAACAAGTAAATCACAGAAGTTTTGCTAATTATGAAGATTTAACTTATACAAGTACAAACTGAGAAAAAAACTATGTAATCTAGGGAAAGAGGTCTCGTGTAATTAAGACAACAGAACTAAACACTTGCAGTGCAAACACTGAAAACTGCTTTCTATAAACTCAGATGAATATGTAAAAGATGACCAGTTAGCCACTGTAAATGGAACATTATGTGTGTGTGTGTGTGTGTATGTGTGAGAGTCAAAGCTTTCACAATCAGCTATAATTTTAAAAAGAAAAACTATTGGCCAACTGTTTGTTAACTTAATAGTTCACATATTAAATACTTCAGTTTTTTATCATTACTGCTTGCAAGGAAGAAAGGGGAAATAATTTAAACAGTAAGATCTTAATAGGAAGTCAGGATGATACCTACCAGCTGCCTGTGATGGTGTAAAGCCTCCTACTCCAGTAAGATTAATAACAGCAGCTTGCTGAGCAGTTAAGGCCTGTTCTTGAGCAGTTAAACCTTGTTCAGAACCCTGAATTAAAAAAAAAAAAAAAAAAAAATAGCAAGTGACTTATACAAAAAGGGCAAAGCAATTTGAGTCAGTGAACAGACAGCTTTTCTTTGATGTATGAGGAAGAAAAAACAGTAGCTTAGGTTTCATATAACAAGAACGGAACCCAGTCCTTGGAATGAACAACAACAACAAAAAACCCTAAAGTAAAAACCTCATATCACCTCCAGAATAGTCCAATTGTAAAACAAAAAACTCAAAAATGCAATGCATTGGATATAATTTCTTTCCTAAAATGAACCACAAAGACTGTAAATATCATGACTAGAATGAGATATTTACCAACAAGCTAGAGTAATGACTAAAAATCATGATTAAAAAAATAACAGTGAAATAATAGGAAAAGGCAAACCATCTTAGTATTAAAGGAAGCAAAAATTAGAGATATACGGGCCACTTAATAATTATAGAGGTAAATTATGTCATAATGATCTTAAGTGTCTACACCTAAAGATACAGCTTCAAACATAACCTTCAAAGCTGTCTGTGGTGGTCCAAGCTTGTAATCTACTACTTAGAAGGAGGACACAGGAAAATTAATGTTAATAATAAATGAGAATATATTATGAAATTAAAATAGAGGCATAATGTATCGAAAGTTGTGGAAAGCAGCGTAAGCAGAGCTGAGAAGGAAATGAGTGGATTACTCAACTCAATAATCTGGAAAGCATTGTGCCTGTCAGGCTCATGTTGCAATGGAAGATTTTGAAGCTACCCTGGGCTACAGAGTAAGGGCCTCTTGCAAAACAAAGCACACTAAAGATAATAGGTCTTTAGACAACTTAAAAGGATAAAGGCCACTCTACAGGGTCTTAGACAAAATAAGTAAGATTAGAAGAGCTAAAATAATTTGTGCTGGAGTGATGGTTCAATGATTAACAGCATTAGGTGCTATTCTGCAGGATCCAGGCTTGGTCCCCAGCACCCACATGGTAACTCACAACCAATTGTAACTCTAGTTCCAGGGGTTCTGACATGCTCTTCTGGCCTCCACATGCACATGGTGCACAGGCATACATACAAAAATAATAAAATTTTAACAAGACACTTGTCATCTCTCAAGATCATAAAGTCAAAGAGAGAAACCATTCTGATAAACTATATAAGACAAGTAAAATTGCAGAACTCTTAAGAGGAAAATATAGGAGAAAAGTTTCACCAGTTTGATTTGCCAATCATTTCTTCAATATGAACCCAAAAGTATAGTGGAAGAAAGTAAACATGTATAGCACAGAATATATCAAAACTGCATAGGCCATGACCACAGTGAGAAGACAACCCAAAGCAGAAAGAGTTGCTGGGGATTTCTCAGATTTTTATGAAGAATGTATATACAATGTCTTCAACTCAACAATGCAGAAATAAACAATCTCGTTAATAAATAAGCCAGGGATTTGAATAGATTTCTTTTTCTTCAAATATACAGAAACAATGATGTGTAGAAAAGTTCCAGTCAGTGAGACTCTCAACTCATTCTTGTTTGGATGGCTGCTACTCAAAACAAAACTGGCTTAAACAGGAAGTGCAGTGGGTAGACTGCAGGAGGCTGAGTTTGATCTCAACCACAAGAAACAGAAAAACAAATAAACCAAAAGACCCAAGAGCAGAAGTTAGCAAGCCATCAGTAAGGACTTGGACAGACTGACTTGTCCACACTGTTGGTGGGAATGTAAGACAACAGCACTACAGTACAAACAGTGTGGTGTCTCAGGAAAGTAAGAGAACTCCTTCCTGTAAGACCCAACAAGTTCTTGACACATATCCAAATGAAACCTATCTGCTGTGACAGTAAGAAACAGAAAAGGACACATGGACCATGATAATATCTCCCTACATGAGGCTCTCAGGATGGTTAAGATCAAAAACCCAGCACAATGGTGGCTGCTAGTGGACTAAGAAAGTTATCAGCTGTCTATAAAGATTCAATTTTGCATGGTGTGTGAATTTGTGCAACAGTGTGAATGCACTCAATACTACTAAAATGTAAACTTAAACGGCACAGTTCACACCTGTTATCCCAGCACTTGAGTGCTAGGGCAGAATGAATGCCAAGTTCCCAGCCAGGCTGGAGTAAGCCTGCCTCAAAAACAGCAACAACAAAAGGCTCCAACAGTAAACTTCCTGTGAAGGTACTTTTCACCAAGGTTGACCACAGAACAGTGGAAGGACAGTACCAACTCCTACCAGTCCTCTGGACTCATGTGCACCATCACCCACATACAGACAAAGAAAATAAAATTTGGTTTTAAAAAGTGAAAGAAAACTAGACATCTTATCAGTGAAGCAAAACCCTTAATGTGCTAATAATATATAATATAGAAAAGGTTTCCAACATGTCCACTGAAGACTGAAGGAGAGACATGCAAGAGGGCTGATGGGGTAGTTTCCAGCATCAGCTGAGACATTCAAGGTGGGATCCAGGAATAAGTATGCTTAGTTTCCCAAATGATTCTACAGAATAGCCAAAGTTCAGGAGCACTCATCCCTTCCTCTTCAGACTTCAATTTATTTAATTACATCCTGATCCCAGTGTGCAATATCTGCTCCTGTCTGTGTTCCCACTGCCCAACACTTCAGGACATCAACACAGACAGATTCATTGCAATAGCAACAAACTTATACAAACACAAGATGATAGGCTAGTCAGTAAAGACATAGTGAGGTAGCGTCACCTGCCACTGCCATTCACTATCTGGCTGTGTGACACATGGCAAGATGGAGACCTCCATCTTGATTAGAATGATTGGCATCTACTGGTGTCGATAAAGAGAAAAAAACACAGGAACTATTTCTTTCAACAAAACAGTAGAAATGTATGAAAAACACATCCTAAGTTCAATGGCCAAAATGCACATACACAAGAAGGCTAAAAATCCCATACCTGCTCCTCTGGCTGCTGGGGACTTGAAGCTGTAGGCTGTTGAGGTTGTTGTACAAACTGAGGGAGCTGTGGCTGCTGTTGTTGCTGCTCAGTGTTAAAAATGAGTGAACCACCAGGAAGCTATTCAGAATTAAAACAAAAATTAGCCGTTGTTTACATGTGAAAGATTTACATTTCCTTACAAATATTCATGGATAATTAGCTAGGAGTCAAGCACTCTTCTAGGCTCTGAAGAAAGAGATGAAGACAGAACAAGAGGACTAGATACACTGGAGGTGGAACCCAGCCGCTGCTGGGCCAGCTTCTAGCACCTCCATACACACACACAAGTACACAAAACAAGCTGCCTGCACTTAGGCAGGCTGTACCCAGATGTTATTTTTAAGTTCAACTTCTTTTTGGTTCCATTCAAATATTATTTTCAAATATAAATTTCCTGCTTCAAGTTAATAATTATCTATACAAATTTACAGTTTTAAACATTTATCACTTCCTATGCCATCAGCACAAAAGATTGTTGCATACACTAAGAATTCAAACAAACTGGGCATTGTGACACACTGTAGTGACTATATATCTATGATCTGGTAGGCTGAGACAAGAGAAGGCAGAGTTCAAAGACAATCTGAGCTTCACAAGATGTCCTTCTCAAAAATCAAAAAGTTGTGATTCAGAAATGTGTATAAGACAACCTATCAGCCAAATTTGTTCTAGTTCTTTAGCAATAATCCTAAAAAATTACCATTTTAATACAAAAAGGTGAGGAATTATAGAGCTGATAAGAAGTGCCTTTACTGTGGAGACTTTAAGTTGCTCTTATTCTGACCCAAATTAAAAAGGCAATCATCTGCTTAAGAAAACTAAACTAACTAAATCTGACATAGTCCAGGCTCAGCATTTCTTTTTCACTAGTAGACAAGGTGGCTTTGTCCTCATTCTTTTTTATCTATCATAAAAGACTTCTCAAGACATATGTTAATATCAAGGAAAAGTAATTCTATTAAAACAATATGATCTCTAGCTGTGCCCACGTTACTAGTGCACAGCTCTGCAACTGGTTTGCAAATACTGACAGCATATTTATACCATATCCAGAAACAGATTAGCTTGTTATCAGTTATGACTACATACGAGGTTGGCTGATCTGTCAGGATTGCTATTTCCCAATAATCCACAGCTCTGCATTATCTATCATCAGATCTTTATCTTCAAGTCTACCGTTAAGTTCTCTGTAGACAGCTATCTATTTTCCAAATTATTAGCTTAATATATGACTGTTAAAGGATCTTGAGGAGGAAGAATAACCAAGTTGAAAGTAACAGTAGAAAAACACAAAAGAAATATCAAATATCTAATAGTATTTAGAGTCTACATTTTAAATAGTCACACATACACACTGAAAGCAGAGGGGACACTGTGGAGCAAGAATGGGGACCAGTGTGGAAGGAGTAAGGAAAAGGTCACATGTTGTAGTGAAGCTCATTATTTTATATGCTAACTACAAGAATTACACATGGAGAAGGAGAAGTGGGACCCGGGGGTGGGGAGGGGGTGTAACGGAATAAGTAACTAGGAACAGACAGACAAAAGTAAAGGAGTTAGCATGGGACCCAGAGTGCTCTAGTCTAGTCCTTTTCTCCTTTCTCATGCATTGCTAGGTCTTCAACCTTAGGCCTTGCCCATGTAAAGCAGGTGCTCTAACAATCAGGCTCCATTTTCTATCTCTTAGAGTACAGTGACATCATAATGAAAAAAGGTAAGGTCTCATCATTAGGTATATATCAGACTCAACAAACATTTATAGAATCAGTAGTTATCTACCATTGATTTAAGAAAGCATAATCTTCCTTGGGGGGAAAAATGCACCCCAAATTTTGAAACCCCCAAGCACAAAAACCCATGGTAAACTAACAAGCACATGCATGTCTGCAAGTGTTCTACTGCCTCGATTGCAGGCTAGTGCTTTTCTAGGACCACCACATTGAGGCAGCTAGCTCTTGATTAGACAGGGAATAAAACCAATGAAAGCTACTTCTATAGAACACCCAATCATTTTTTCTTTATACTTAACTACAAAAAGGTAGCAATACAAATACCCTTAGAAGATTCCAGATAGACCTTAAATCTTCATATGCTGACATGTATAAATATACACTGTTTAAAATATATATATATATTATATATAAATTTTAGTCAAAAGCATTGTTTCATGTTTACCTGGAGTAGATTTAAAGGCCTGACACTTGAAGTATTTTTTAATCCAAATGGGATATCTGTTAATAAAAAGTCATGGTTATAATAGAACTGTAAGTATTACAAATAGAAATTTATACTTCAACATATGAAAATACATCATTGTCCTGTCTCCAAATGATTGACTTACACGTAATATTAAACCCTTTAACAACCAAAGAACCAGCCAGGCATTGGTGCCACACTCCTTTAATCCCAGCACTTGGGAGGCTGAAGCAGGCAGATCTCTGTGAGTTCAAGGCCAGCCTAGTCTACATAGCTAGTTCCAGGACAGACTCCAAAGCAGTACAGAAAAACCCTGTCTCAAAAAAACCCAAAACAAACAAACAAAAAAAAAAAACAAAACAAAACAAAAAAAAACAAAGAACCATTTTATTTTTTATCAATATTGAAATTTTATTCAAAGATGTAGAATACTAGATATACTACATAAAAACTATATTCTACATTTCAAAGACTTCCTCACTTGACTTACTGTTAAAGAAAATCATCTAGCATTACCTATACATTATAAAGGTAACAAACTACCCTTGTACAAGCACATTTTCACTGCCACCTGTTTACATTTCTCAGTTACATATAATAAATACTAAATTTTACATTCTAAATACCAATCACCAAATGGTTAAAAGAACACTGACTTTTGTAAAGATAAATCCAAAGTTAGGATATAATGATGGCCTACTAACTCCAAATTTAAAGAAAAACAAAGCACTAGCAGGATGGCTCACTGTTTACATAAAAGCACTTGCCACCAAGCTTAACCCCAGGACCCACATGGTGAAAGATAGAACAGATGCCTGCAAGTTGTCCTTTGACTCTAAACTTGAGCCCTGGTGTGCTCACACATACATACATATTGTATGTATGTTCTATGTGTGTGTGTGTGTGTGTGTGTGTGTGTTTCCAAAATATGTGCAAATTAACTAGCATTGTGGTGCACAGCTTTCAACCCAGCACTCAGGAGGAAGAGGTGGAGGACCTCTGTGAGTTCAAGGACTGCCTGATCTACACAGTGAGTTCCAAAACAGCCAGAGTTACATAGTGAGACCCTGTCTCTAAAGATAGTCCCCCCTCAAATAAAAGTATGTGCAACTTTTGTCCACATCAATCTGAATACAAATTAAAAATTATCTAGTCTAGCTATAGTGGTTTGTGCCTGTAATCCCAGTATTTGGGAGGAATAAGTGGGAAGATCTTAAAAATATTAACAAAAACCTATGTAGTCCTCCATCAGATGTTATTTACAGAAAGAGATGTAGAAAACTGGTATGTTTTGAGAAAGTCTCAGATGTGTCCCATTCAGGAAATATTCCCTGAGGAGAAATGGCCTGAGCTGTAACTGGTATGTAAATGTTTATCAGTGCCTGGCATCCACTTAGTGTCTGTCTGTGGTAGAGCATACAAAGAAGCATGGTCCCTGTATACAGTTTTCTAGCTTATGAAAGATGCTGGAAGACTTCCTCTTTTTCCTAAAGACCAGAAAAAGTCAGAATGCAGATGACACTAAGACTGGGGAAATTAAGTAAGTGGCTCTAAGGACAGCACTGGAACAATGTAAACCTAGTATCCTAGGAGTTCCTTACACATAAATCTAAATTATCTCAAATTCAGGATGTGACTTTAATATCCATGGCTCCTTCTCATAAAAGTAAGCACAACTAGAATTAGAAAGTAATAACATATTTACATTATACTTTCTTGGCTTCTTCTTCCATAACCAAGAAAATTTTTGTTTGGTTAATTTTTGAGCTGCCTACCCGCTCCCACCACTGGTAAGAAAAGGAACTGTTTCCAGGCAATACAGCACATTCATCACACTTGTTCCCACTGCTTTGGGTCACATGGTAATTAACTATGCAAGACCTGCTACTACTATTACAAAGGATGACAACCTGAATGTTCCTAATGGCACAGGTATAATGTATTTTTTTCTCCTATGAAACAAATTACTACTACCTCCATTTTATTTCTGGGGAAATGTTATAAAAAAGCAACTTCCCAAGATTACACGAATAAGAATCTAGGCTTTTAGCTGCCATGCTGAAAGCAGTGGAACATATATTTTTAATATTTTCTCTGGACCATTACCACTGACAAGAGTAAGGTTACTAAAACTAATTTCACTATTATGCAAAGCAGAAGACATAATGTGCACAGACTTACAGATTTAACAGGTTCTGCCCAGATGTTTTCTAAATGGATAATTCTGATATCAGAACTAAAAAAGACTTTTCAAGGATCTGAGAAATAAAACTATGGAAAACAGCACTTAATGCTTTTAATAATGTCCTTAAAATAACAGTTTTTAAGGGTGGGTATGGAGACACACAGTAATCCCAGCTCTGGGAGGTGGAAGCAGGAAGATCAGTAGAAGGCCACCCTCAGCACATACCAAGCAGAAGGCCAGTTATTGAGAACCTGCGATTGTGGAATATTAGTTTAAGATGTGTTACATTTGTTTACGCCATGGAATATTTGTGTAATGATTCAAAGATGTATTGCATTCTTTTATGTTGTAGTTGTTTAACACCATGAAGCTGTCTAAAACACCTAATTGGTCTAATAAAGAGCTGAATGGCCAATAGCAAGGGAGGAGAAAAAGGATAGGCAGGGCTGTCAAGTACAGAGAATAGGAGGAAAAACATGAACAAGAGAATAGCAGACCAAGAAGAGGAGAATATCAGGAGCCAGCCACCCAGTTACTCAGCAAGTCATGGAGTAAGTAAAGAAAGGTATACAGAAACAGGGAAAGATAAAAGCCCAGAGACAAGAGATAAGATAATTTAAGAAAAGCTGGCTTGAAATAAGCCAAGCTAAGGCTGGGCATTTACAAATAAGAATAAGACTTTGTGGGAACTTATTTGGAAACTGTGTGGCAGGACCTCCAAAGACCGAAGAGTAAAAAAACCAACAACACCCTGACTTTAAAAAAAAAAAAAAAAATTAAAACAAACAAAACCCCCAAGATCAATGAAAGACTTTCATGTGTACTTTATTCTAACCTGATTGAGAAGTCACCTGCATCGCACTGGGCAGTGCATTTGTTAAGAGACCCCCTGATGGAAGAAGGCCGCCGCCACACACGCTTTTTCCTGGAGGAGTTACGGTACCAGTGTCACAACCCAGCATGGAGTTTGAGCCACTCTTCAGAGCCTGGGCTCCGCTGCAGGGTAAGGGACAGAGCACACTATGAAAGCAAATACAGCTCACAATTCTTCAGATTAAAAAACGATAAAACAAGTTTTATCTTAAAAATTAATTCCTAGGTTAGGTGAGATGGCTCAGCAGGCACTTGCCACCGAGCCTGAAGAAACAACACAGATGGTGGTAGAAAAACCACCAAACCCTGCAAGTCATCCTGTGACCTCTATATGTGCATTGTGGCACAAACACCCCCACCCCCAAATAAATGTAATTTTTTTTTTTTTTAATTCTCAATGTCTAGGCCGAGTTCCATTTTAGTGCTTAAGTATGACTGGCTTAGGTAATGAGCATATTTTTAGATATTTCAGAGTGAGGAGAAGCAAAGCACTGCCCAAGTGGTAAAATCTGGGCAACTGTGAGATACATCTCTGTACAGGTAATAGATTTGTTACTAAAATTATATCATTCACATGAAGCAGCTCCTAATTATATCAAAGTAGCATCTTTCTGTGTAATGTGCAATTTGTTCTTAATCTCACAAATAAAACTGTCTTTAACACTGTCAACTTACCCAGCAGAGCTCACTACACTGATGGCGTTAAGCCCAGCAGAGTCTGCCATGACCGGGGAGACCGTGCTTCCTGTTGTTATAGATGTTACCAAGGTAGAAAGAGGAATGCTTGTCACAGGCATTGCCTGGCTCAGAGCCCTTTGCTGCTGAGCAAATTGAGTGAACAAAGTGGGCTGAGGGGTGAAGCCTGAATCTTGGGGAGATGGGGTGGCTGAAGGGGTACTAGGAGTTGAGTTCTGAGCATCAGGAGGGTGTGGGGCCGATGAAGGGGTTGGTGTAGGAGTAGATGGCTTAGGAGTTCCAGATCCTGCTCATTGAGAAAAATAAAAATTGCTAGTTTGTTATAAATGGCCGATCCTTTTAAAATAAGGTTAATGGAATCTTACTTAGCACTGACAAATTTGTTCCAATTTTTTTAAAGCAGTGAACTGCAAGTGTTAACTCTCTACAAGATCCACGAGTGTTCTACACTCAATTACAATTAAGGATGCAGTATATCACCTAAAATCCCACTCCAGATGCTATCACAGTAACAGTGGAAATACACTTACACTCTACCACAACACCCACTGAAAAGTTAGTCTCCTACATGCTGTCTTTTGCCTATAAAGTTGAAAGTGAATTTAAATTAATTTTTGTTATTTATTATTTCAATAATACAAGACTTCTTTTAAAAAATACTGCTCTTATTTAGTTTAACGTATCTGAGATAAACTGAACATTTTTAGTAAGCTACACAAGGTTATCAGTTATATTTGGCACCGAGATATACATGTTTAATTCATAACATACCGAATTTACTCTGACAAAGAAATTTACAAAGAGTAAAGCAAGTACTTTATAGATAATACTGCATCTTTAACAGTAACTGTGTACTTCTGTTTAAATGGAGAATGTATAGAAAATCTGTTGTGAATGAAGTATGCACAGTTTATCAACTTTAAAAAATAAAAACAAAAAAATGAAACCAAAAAAAGTAAAGCAAAAGCTCTTGAGGTGTTTCCTTTTTAGCTTTCATGTCCTGCAGAAAGAAAGGAGAGAGATGTGAATGTCCAGAGGCTGTCACTCCACCCTGACTTAACACAACTGTGTGCAGCAGATCACTACAATCCACACCCACAACATGAGAAGTATGAATAAGACTTTGAGAAAATTTATTTATTTTTCTTTGTGCAAAACAAGAAGGCAGAAAAATTACACCTTTTGAGCTATCAGGATGTAGATGTCAATACCTAGGACCATCCTAGCACTGTGCAATACGCTGCTTACAGCACACAGCACACATTAGCAACCAAGCAAACTTTAAAAAAAAAAAAAAAAAAAAAAGCTAAAAAACTGGAATTCCCCCAAATTAATACCTAATATATTTATTTGTAGAAATACACCCAAATTAAACCTAGCATTCCTATATTGCCTCTACTTGCTGTTAAAAAGGGTATCCCAAAGTGAGAATTCTATGTTCCCATGGTCATGTTTTAGTGACAGCTTACAGAAATGTAGAAGTGCATGCTTTCAAATATTACTTTTCAAGTTACTGCACATATGTAACCTTGTGACCAGCTAGTGTCATACTAAGGTAGTACCTCCAATAATTCATTCTCACATTTTCTTTTAGCATAAGCCACAGTTTATGCAGTAAGAAAAAAGATCCCTAGGGTGTACTGAAAATAATATTCTGCAATCTTATTGCTAAGTAATTTTTAAGGAAGAAAGATGTATAGGTAACAAGCCTAAAAGAAGGGTATACACTGAGTGCATACATAGATACAGAAAAGCAAATACAATTAAACATATAATACATACAGCCAACAAAACTCTACCTGAAGTTTCATGCAACTTACACATTTTGGGTACACAGTACACTCAGATTTCACCATTCACAGACTGAATAAAAAGCTTCCTTCAAACGACACTAATGCAAAACTTTGCAAAAATCTGTGCAAGACTATAAATCAAACTCACTCTGTGAAGAGCTGGCAGGTGACAGGGCGGCAGGAGAAAGCATGCTGACTTGACTAAGCTCCACAGATGATTTCCGAGAGAGACTTGGTTTAGATGATGGAGGAGGAGTTGGTGATTTAAGGAAGCTGCTGGCCTGTTGTGCTGTAAAATAGTTACCTGGAAGAATACATGTTATTTCCTAAGGCTAGAAAGATGGCTCAGAGCAGTTGCTGAGTAACCATAAAGACCAAAGTTCAGATTCCACCACTCACCCAAACCAGCTACCCCCAAGAGCAAAGGTATATACATATATACATGGGTATAAACTCATGAACACACGAACACACACACACACACAAATTACATTTAAGTTTTTTCCTATATTCATAGTTCAAAATTCTGTAAGTTATCATAGTAAAAGTAAGTAACATTTTAAGAAAAGCACAAGGTATTAAGGATAATACCTGAGGAACTATTTCCCGAGCTTGAGGGAAGTTTGATAGGTGGGGGTCGATGTTTTACTCCCTTTCCCAAAACTGAAGACTGAACAGACACAGTCTCGGGCTGCTGAGGAGTAACATTAAACACAACTGTTAAGATTAAAATGAATATCGCCATAATTCCTACATGAAAACAAGTTATAACTGCTAAGTACTTAGTATAAGAGTACTACAAAGGAACAAAGTTTCATATGACACCCACAGACTATAACATACATGAGATGATGTGAGACCCAAGGGAGAGCAGAAAGTGAAAGAAAACCTACCGCCTTTCTCTACCTACCTTTAATAGAGTAAGAGTTTGTACCTACCATTGAATACTTCTGAAACTTAACAACCAGAAAGCTGAATAATAAAAAAGTTAAAAGTAGAAGCAAAACTATAACTCCCTTGTCCTTCATATTTCTCAGGCTCCTTGAGAAACAACAAGGTACAAGGTACCAATAGTGTGAACTTACTTCTGTCTCCTCCCCTGGATTGAGGCTGGCTGAACCACTAGAGCTATGTGACATCTTCACTGGGCATTTGGCCTCGTTCTGGACCAACTCCTGGTACTGATTAACTACCCTGAAATATTAGCAAAAACAGGTAAGGATTAGCCAAATTTGTCTTAAATTTAAAAGAAAAATCAAAATGAGGCACTCTACTACTGTGTTATAAGTTTTCCCTAACTGCCCAACCACAAGTGCCGAAATTAACATAGGACCTAAAATTGAATTCTCATCAGTACATACCACAGACCTAATTTTTCACAGGAGAAAGACTAGTCAAGAGTTCAAGGCCAAACCAAGCTATATGAGAAAATACAGTTTAAAAATTGTATCTGGCCTGTGGAGCTGGATAAAGTGCTTGCCAGCCAGCCTGACAACCTGTTTACTCTCTGAACCCCCATGGTGGAAGGAGAGCCAACCTCTGCATGCTGCCCAACAAAAGTTCACACACTAAACCAACATAATAAAGAGAAGCCTATTCTAATATTTCCAATGACAAAGTAATGTTTAAATCTTTTCTACTAATGATAAATGCATATAAAGGTATATTTTAAGATCTTACTTCAAATACAGAAATTACAGGAGAAATCAGAAGTATAAGGTCACCCTCAATTACAATATAAGAGACAACAAACTTGTTCATTTGGTTTTCCTTAGACTTGGATTATAAACTCCCCCCTTAAAATCATCTTTCTCAGATGTCTAAATTTTTGTACCTAAAGAAAAATGTATTTTAAACATGGTCTTTAATTATTTTCTTAATTCTGTAAAAAACCACCCAGGGTATTAGAATATGAAAATGGACTTCAGAGATTTGACATTGATTTAACCCAAGACCTAAGAGTAAGTCATGTAATGTTCAGTTAAATGTGTAACAAAATCAACATCTGTGACTCACATACAGAACACTCTGCCCAACAAAGAAACAGATTCATACGCAATCTGATAAAAAAAAATAAAGAAGCAAATGTACTTTACCTCTCTGCATCAGTCTTTGACCCAATAATAAACCTAAAATGTTACCAAGAAAAAAAAGTATTAGGTGAGAGTGTCTTAAAACATCTTAGGTTAACATTTAAAGTCTTTCATATTTTAGTCACAGTAATATATATTATAAATTCATTTTAAATCTAGCAATATATCATTACATTCAAAAATTACACTTGAGAAATAATGCTCAAGTTTTACATTCATCATGAAATAATCAATTTGGCTGATTTTCCTTAGAAGTTTAATGTTTATTTATTATTACACAATCTGGAATACAATTACTAAGTACCACTATACACATTTACAAACATTGTTCCTTTAGTAAAATCACTGAACTACGGAAAGGCCTATGGCTTTCCATTCATTTAATTACCAACTCAAATAAAAATCTTTTCTGAGTTTTTTTTTAAAGGTTTGACATTACAACAACATATATAAAAACAAGTGAGTCTTATTTTTTAATTACCAATTTGAATGATCATCTGCAGAGGAGCTGAAATACAAAACATAAAAGACAAGCACTCAGTTAAGGCAGGCCAAACTTAAGCTTCACAGTTCTTAGGTTCTGAGCATGGACAGATGTAGAAGAGCACAGACCCTGTAGAATAATGGCAGATAGCAGCTGTCTCCTGGAAGTATTCCCATAGCAATAAAAACTAAATTTTCACAAAGCAGTAGCCACTGTGTCCTCACACAATTGAGATGCTGGCACATCTACAATGGTGAATATGTCTTTGGGGGAAGGTGTTCAGAAATATGCATAATCAAAACAGCTGACAGCTGTTAAATGAGAAATTACTGCTATTTCTTATTGTTGACTTTAACCTAGATATGGGTGAATTAAGTCTAAAACCCATCATTCTTTACAAATCTCAAATCAATTTTGGTAAAGGTTTTAACAATAATTTGACATACAATTCACCTTGACCGTTTTTCATTTTCCTGAGCTCTTTTCCATCTTTCAAATTAGTATGAATGAGATTTAAAAAAAAAAAAAAAAACTAAAAATAAAAGTAATCATGCAATCAATATTACCCCAGCACTCAAGAGCAGAGGCAAAGGCAGGCCAATCTCAGTGAGTTTGAGGCCAGCCTAGTATCCATAGCACATTCTAGGCCAGCCAGGGATACACAGATCCTGCTCATACTCCTCAACCCCAAAATCAAGACTATGTATTAGTATACTGTACAATGTACCATTCAAAAAAATCAACTACATAAACTGCCAACAACAAAATCCTAAGAATCCCTTTCAGAGCTATCACAAAAATAATTAGCTACACTCTAAAAGAATGATTATAAATCAGTTAGAGAACATGCAACTGCATCTTAACTTTATTCACATCTACTATCAAAATGTGCTGATGTATATTAAAAAACAAATCCCTAAAAGAAAACTGTACGTGTTAGTTGGCAGCTCCTTGGTAGTTCTAATTAGTTCTGAATGTCTCTGTGTATTACATATACTCAACAGAACTCACTGGGATGGAGACATTTGACTGTCATTTTCTTCATCTGCTTTCCAAGGCTGTATTTTCCCATAATAAAGTGGATCACCAAGAGACTGCAAGATGGTCAGCTTTGTTTTCTGATATTGAGTACCACCTTCACATTCAAATACATAATCGTCTTTTACATCCTGAAAAGGACAGAGAATCCCAAATAATATCTTCTCAAGCAGCAAAAATAACAACAACAAAAAAACAAAAATAAAAACTGACTTACAGCTTAATGTGTATATATATATATATATTATATATATATATATACACACACACACACACATACATATATACATGGCACTGAAGAAATGTTTAAGGCAGTATAAAAACATCAAGTTCAGGATGAGTATGCATGATATTCAATCATTCAATGAGAAATTGCTATATGCATTTCTACAAGGATAACAAAAATTATAACAAACATTTACTGAGGAAGTAGTATCTCATCCAACTGTCAAACATAACCAACCCATGGCTGGCATGGTCATTTCCACATTATAGGTGAAGGAATTGATTAGTTGTAGTGTCACATCTTTAGCTCCAGCACTTGGGAGGCAGAGGCAAGCTGCTCTCTTTGTAATCTAAATCAGTCTGGTCTACAGTGAGTTCCAGGCCAGCTAGGACTATACAGTAAGACTCTGTCTCATAGTCAACAAATAAATAAACAAATAGGAATTTAACAGCACAGACCCTCATAGAGAACTACTGCATAGGACCCTTTCATCATAATTCTTTAATGCTAAGTGTCCCAATGCTGCATCTCAGCAAGCCTGAGAGACATGCACAAAGCTTCATACACTGCACATACAACTGCAATATTTAATAATCTGAAAGTAAGGTTTAAAGGCAGAAATGTTTTTATCATTGGCCACTTATACAAAACATCCTGTGTTCATTAAATCTTACTATTTTGCCCCTAGAGTTCATGCAATATATTATTCTGATTTCTCCCTTTAAGAAATTACTATAATGAAGCCAGGCAGTGGTGGAGCACACCTATAATCCAAGCACTCCGGAGGCAGAGGCAGCAGAACGGCAACAAGTGTGAGACCAGCTGGTAAATACAGCAAAATTCCAGGCAAGCCTGGTCACACAGAACCATGTTTCCAATAAAGGCATCTTTAAAAGAATAGGCAAATTTGAAACAAAAGAAAAATGAAAACCACAAACCTGCAGTCACAACAAAAAAATACAATTTTGTTTTCTATAAGACAGTCTCATTATGAAGCCCAGGATGATCTCAAACATACCCTTTTCCATTAGCAGCTTCCCTAGTTCTGGACTTACAGCTACGTACTATCAGGCTTGACACTTATTTTGGTTTTTGAGTAGCTCCTTATGTACCCCAGGCTGGTCTCCAACTTGGAAGCTTCCTGCCTCTGCCTCCAAGAGCTGAGACTATAGGCATGGGCTACCATGCCCCACTCCTAAAAATGTAGTGTTACATTAAAACTGTTCTGTAAAATGAAAAACACACTTTTTCAAAAAATATTTTTTCTTGAGCCCACAAGAGCTCCAAATGTTCTTTTTTTTTTTTTTAAAAAAAAAAGTTATATATTACAAGTAATTTCCTGTTTAATAAATTCAGAACCCAGTTTATAAACATCATTGTTAGCCAAATATGGTGGGGAGACACCTGACACTTGGGCAGTACAAAGCGGATCAAGGTATATTCAAGGTCAGCCTTGGCCACATTGCAAATTTGAAGCCAGTCTAAGCTACAAGAGACACTGTCTCAAAACAACAACAACAATACACAAGCAAACTGCATTATTAATGAGACTATCACTAATTACTTACGTGGGCTGGCCAGACTGTTGGTTGGGAGTCATCAGATTTGATGGATTTTTCTACTTTAGCATATTTTTCCACCTAAATGGTAAAGACATGGAATAAAATGAAATCAGTATCGGAACAAAGAGAAAAACTGCAGATGATTAAGTAGTTAAGAGCACTAGCTGCCTGAGAGCCACATACGAAACAAGAAGACAATATGGTTTTCTTTGCTGGTTTGTATACACAGTCTTTGTTTTTGTATTTTAATTGTTATGACAATAATACAAAAGCATTATTGAAATAATGGAAATAATTTTGAAATAAGGATCACAATAAATTGAGTAAGGGCTGGTGAAATGGTTTAGCAGATCAAAGCACTTGCCACTAAAACTGAAGACCTGAGTTTGATTGATGCTCAGGAACAATATGGTAGAAGCAAAGAGTCAACTCTGATCTTCCACACATGCTACTGTGTGTACACACACACACACACACACACACACACACACACACACACACACACACACACACACACACCCACCCTCTGAGGGAATACTAAAATAGACTCTGAAAGACACAGGAAATGACATACAACGCTGTCATATGGTAGAAGCAAAGAGTCAACTCTGATCTTCCACACATGCTACTGTGTGTATACACACACACACACACACACACGCACACACGCACGCACGCACACACACACACACACACACGCACGCACACACACACACACACACACCCTCTGAGGGAATAGTAAAATAGACTCTGAAAGACACAGGAAATGACATACAACGCTGTCCTCCATTAATATCCCTACAATCACTTAGAATTTGTGTGTCTTAAGGGTTATTAGTAAAGAACAGTGCTGGGAATCCTATTTTTGGCCATTGCTCTAATATTACTAATCTTTAAATTCTGCCAATTTGAGTACATAAGCATTATGAGTTCATTGTGAAGAAACACTACAGAAAGACACAAGGCTATGTCTTAGGTATTATATAAAATATATTATACTCTTTCCACAATTTGAAACCTTACCATTATTCCTTCTAACCCGGAACTCTATCAAGTAATGTTATTATGTAACTAAGGCTGGATTGGTGGCCCATTCTCAGAATGTCTTGACTCTGGAAACTGACTGAGAGGATTACTCCAAGTGTGAGAATACCATGGGCTACACAGCAAGACCCAGGTTCAAAAACACAAGAAACTTACATGACTAATGTAAATACATAGTTCCTTAAAATGAGAACTTAGTTTGTTAAAAAAAAACAAAGGTATTTGGTTTTCTTTTCCTTTGTTTTCTCACAGCATTAGCTTCCTAATGATGAACTTTGGCCCTGGGCTAGAGAACACCATTTCATGAACTTACATCTACTTCAGAAGGCACAGCCAGGTTACAGGGGCTCCGTTTCCACATATCCACACACTGAAAAGTTAAAGGCAATACAATTACATCAAAACTTAAAACAAAGCTAGCCTGTCAGAATAGTGAGCTCCTGAAGTACTTACATTTCCTGCTTTAGAAATTTTGAGGTCATAATGCTGACCTGCTTTCCTTTCCTTCCGTTTTTGTAAGAAATCAAGTAATCTCAGCTGAGGTGGAGGAGGACAATGAGACAGGTCCTGCTGCCGGTTCAGGGAGGATCTGGAATACCTCTTCAAACACCTAACACATAATGGAACACACAAAGCAACAACTCAATCTATATGGAAAAAATGCAGCATGCATTCATTACAGATTAAGTCACAAGCGCCTATCCAACACTCTCACACCAGCACAGGTAAAACAAAATGAACAAGACAAAATACTCATGACCATGTAGCCAAGCTGATTCAAATCCCGAAATGGAGAGACAGCCATTATAAATCAATTTCTAAAACTCTGACCATATTTCTCAAAACTTGTAAGTTACATACTGTTTCCTTGTTAGCCATCTCCAATTAGTACTGTGAAGTATTGAAGCCACTATATCCTTCTGTTCCTATCTGGTCTTTTCTCAGCCTCACAAGCTTTGTGGTGAATAGACCATAATCTTACTTAAGTTCATTCTTTAAAAGACTACAGAGAATACCATTTTACAATAATGCAAGGGAATATTTAAAAAAAAAAATCCTATCACACAAAATCACAATACAAGGCCATTAAAAATCCCATTTTCAAATGTAAAAGTCCTGCCATGCTGAGGCAAAGGGCACAGTGGCTTAGCAACACTTAAAGAGCCTGTGTCGCACAAGTGCCAGAAATTACCGTTTCATTGGGCGCGTGTTCATCTTTTGGCGGTTATAGAGCAGCCTATTTGCAGTGCAAGCTACTGCCACAGATGGGTCAAGACACAGTGGTTCTGCTGTAGCTAGGATCAGTTGACTCTCAAGCAAAAGTTTGTCTTCCTGAAATACACAGGAGTATAAGTCAGCTTCAGATATATTTTTCATGCTGGAGATATACATCAATTAAGCCAGAAATATTCCCAGGAAGTTTGCTTAAGACTAAAGTAACTGTAGTAACTCAAGTTTAAATATTAATGTGTAAACCCAACAAGATAAATAAACTTCTAATGGAAATTCAACTTTTTGTACACTGTATAAAATAGTCAAATTCAAAGAGTGAATATTTATTTGCCTGTTTGTTCAGAAATGGTAGAATAACTCTATTTTCTCTTTATCAGTTCTCAGCTTAAGAAACTGATGCTTTACTGCTTTCCAGCACTGACTACAACTCTTGTCTCTGATGTGAAGAACTTTCAACCTTCTTATAGATGGGAAAATAATGGCCCAGACTAAAGCTCATCACTTGCTAGTTATGGATAAGCTGAATCTTAGTTCAAAGGCATATTTCATAGAGGGCTATTACATTACTAACATTTTCTCTCCACAGTAACAGATAAATAAAAGCCAGAGCTAGAGGATCAATTAGCCGTTGTCATTGCTAAGAAATCCTGTTAGACTAAGTATGATGACACAGGTCTTTACTCTTAGAATTTAAGAGGCTGAGGTAGCAGAATCTCAAGTTCCAAGACAGCCTGTGCTAGAGACCTTACCTCAAAAAGAAAAAAAGGAAGAAAGGAAGGGAGGGAGGGAGAGAGAAGAAAAGAAAGGCTTCTTGTAGAATTTTAGAATCTTGGAATGGAAAAAAAAAATTACAATCTGTATTCAATGGTAAAAATAAAGCTTTTGTTTGATAGAATGAGGGGGACAATGGTGACACACACCTCTAATCCCAGCACTCTGGAGGCAGAGGCAGGAGGATCTCTGTGAATTCAAGGCCAAGCCTGGCCTACAGAGGGAGTTCCAGGATAGCCAGGACTGTTTATATATAGAGAAACCCTGTCTCCACAAAAAAAAAAAAAAAAAAAAAAACTCAATAAAAAAAAAGTAGCAAGAACAAAAACCAAAATCTAAAATAAAAACAAAACAACTAAATTTACATTAGGCTTTACAAATTAACTTAATCCTAGTTTATCAACAAAACTGGAAGCAATTTGGGACTGGTTTAGTAGTTCCTTGAGAGATTTCTAAATGTACAGAGATTTTAAAAATTCTAAAGCTCATAAAGGAATCTTGGGTTTGTCCAAATGTTCAACCTAACAAATAATCAAATGTGAGTAAAAGGAAGCCTCTCACTGATGCTTCACACTGTGTGTGGTCTACCTGGGATTAGAGAGAGAACTAACCTGGGTCCATTTATGGTTGTCACTTGTTATAGAATGAACATCACAGACTAAAGTCTAGAAGAAACAAAACATTTTAAAACATGTATGTTCATACACATATATGGACATTAAATAAAAACCAAACTAAAACAAAAAACAGTATTTCCTAACTATACATTCCATACCTGCATTGTTGGACGTAAGAGAATGTGCCTACTTTGGTAACCAGGAGACTTCATATTACTGGACTGCCTATAGTCACGTATTTCGGCTATCACACATCCACAATGAAAAATATTAACCTGTTTTAAGTAAAAAACATTCAGGTAAATGTAATTTTTTCAAAAGTCAAAATAAACAAACTTATACTAAATGTTTCAACCTTTAAACCCTATACTTTCAATAGATATCTTTGGTGGATACACCACTACTAAAGAGGATTATTATTTATTTTTATGTTCATCATTATAAAAAGCAATTAAAACTGTTAATAGACTGACTTTGCATCTATTGACATCCAGGATGACTTTGGCATTCATCTATGAGGAAAATTACTGCTGTTCCTTAAGACTGAAGTTCTGAAGCTCACTAACTCATTTTCACTTAACCAGAATCATAATTGTTATATAATTTGTCGTTGCAATACACTGTCAATCAATTGTGCCAGAATTTCAGCTTCTAGGTATAACTTCCATATTTGCTTTCCTAAAATGTCTAGACTTTTTAAACTGTGTTAACAAGAAGGAACTAATCAGGAATTTAATTCACTACTATGTTGTATAAGTTTAAGAAACCTTAGCACTCAGTTCGCTACAACTTGCCTACTCCCCCACAGTATGTTCAGGTGCTTTATACCATTAGTTATTTGTATTCAAATACAAATTGATAAATATAATTGATAATATCTATAAACAAAAACCATTGTAGTCTTTATCTTAAGTCAACCGGGTTAATACTAACAGCTAGTCTAGGAATTATGAACCCTATTTAGCTTCCTTTCTTATGTGCATGCTTTCTTTAAAACAATATTAATTTATATTTAGGATATCAATCATAGTCTTCACAATAAATATTTAAAATATTACATTTAGCCGAAGCTGTACTTTTATCACTTTGTTGTTAACAATTGGGAACTTAGTATACCAATAATCTACACCTTCCTAATTATACTAATTGCTACCACCCTTACAGCTGTATACATCACATGATTTGCTACCAATGGACAACAATTAGCTGTTTCCCTAGTTGGGATTAATGAAAGCAACCCTCTTTTAATCAATTCAGCTAATCATCTGGCTATTGGAAGTATCTTCACCTATCTAATAAATATCCCCCAACAATGATACCTATGTAACTGATCTCTCTGTAATCATTTTGGATTTACTTTAGTTATCAAGTCACCATAAAGCAGAAGATGGCCTTGAACTTCTGACTCTCCCCAATGCTAAGAGGAAAAGCATATTCCATTAAGCCTGGCTATACTGGCCATTCCATTGAACAATTCAGATTCAAACAGAAAAGTGACTAATAAAGCCATGCCATGAGATCAATGACTTGCCAAACTAAGAAATGCTTGTTACAAGGCTAGCTAGGTAAATAAGAAAGAGTGTGATAAAAAGTTTACAGACAAGATTTTGAGTGCCTTTGTAGTGATAAGGAGAATGCTAAATAAATAGCTGAAAAAACAGAGAAGTCAGAAGAGGTTTTCAAGCTCAGAACACAGCATGTTTGTATTCTGTATTTAGTGGGTGGGGGCTTATGGCTGTAAGCCACCAAGAAGGGGAAGATCTAGAAGGGAAATGGGGATCAGGGTTTAAGGAATGGGATTCATCCACTTAAATAGGAAAGCAAAGACAAAGTATGGAGAAAGATGCAGGAATGCTGGTCAACTGGTTCCACTAACACCCTGAAAAAAATGGGAGTCAGGTCAAAGCAGCAGGAAAGGCAAGGCAAGTGGGTCATTTACAGGTTACTTTTTAAAGTACCTTGTTTGTGATCTGTAAGTAAGCTTCATAAACAGTGAAAAAGAGATTCTTTTGTCATTTCTTAATTTTAACCTTGGGAAAGTCCCAGGATAATTTATTACAGCAATTTTAGAAGCACTCAATCACCACATGGCAGGCAGTGCAACAACAACGTGAGCCACAAAAACCATTTTTACCCAGCACCGCAATGTCTCATGCTCTAAGCACTACTGATAACACTTGTGTGTGTACAGCAGCTAATTAATATCTACAACTGAGGCACTCAAGAGCTGAGGCAATGATACCACCTGTTCTAACTAAGCAAGCCAGCTAGGCTATAAATAAGCTCATGTCTCAACAAAGCAAAACAAAACCACAACACAAAGTATATGTACATACTAAAATGTAACACACACACATAACACAAAACATTTTTTTCTGGGGACTGCATGTAGTTTAGTTGTAGACTAGTAGCCTAACATATATGAGGTCTTGAGTTCACTACTCAGTACCACTAAAAAGGGGGGAAAAAGACATTTCATTTGTGGTGTTAAACACACATGTACATACACACATATATTTTAGAAATGGAGTTTTGCTATGTAGCCCAGGCTGGCCTCAAACTTCCTTGAAATGTTCCTGTTTCAGCCTTCCGCAGCTGGGATGTCACATGTTAATATATTCAAATCCGTATTTTGTTTTGCCTTCTTACCTGTGATTTTTCTAGGAGATCAACCAAAATAGGAGGTAATTCTTCTGCATCTAAGTATTCAAGCAATTCCCCTTCTTCATAAGGCAACCGTATGGTCTCAGAATCTTAGTTTTAAAACAAAGATCATGAAAACAGGCTCATTAAAAAAAGTTAGGATTATAATTTAAATGACTTTTAAAAAGAGGATACAAAAGGCTAGAGGGACGGCTCAGTGGTTAACAGCACTTGCCGTTCTTGCAGAGGACCTGGGTTCTGTACCTAAAACCCATAGCAACTTCTAATCGATTAAATGTCAGCTCTGTGGGCACTTGCATTCATTCATATGAACATACTCCCCACTGTATGTATGTACGTACGTACGTACGTGCGTACACACACACACACACACACACACACACACACACACACACACACTTAAGAAAATACAGCTAAATGGCTAAGTCTTATAAACATTTTTACTATATAAGATTTTAAAAAAGAACAGGAAAATAAGCACTTCTGATTCTCTTTCCTCTACCTGCTGAGTGCTAGGTTTACAGGCCTTTGACATCACATCTGTGTGGTGCTATGACTGAACTCTGTGCATGGTAGGCAAGTATTTCATCTACTAAACTATATTCTTATCCCCATAAATAAAATAAGCTAAGTTCCTCATAGTGCTCATATTTTTAAATTCAGAAATGTCTCTTTAAATGAAATCTAAGAATATGTTTTAATGCTCTTTATATTCACATTACTAGAAACCTTTTTAGAATTATTTTCAATGTTTACTATTTTTGACATCTCAATAAAATTACTCAGAAGGCAAGGAATGCTTAATTTTCAAGCTTTTATACTCACCATATAAAATACCTTATGTTAGCCTGGTGGTGGTGGCACAAGCCTTTAGCACTCAGGAGGCAGAGGCAGGTGAATCTCTGTGAGTTTAAAGGAGTTCAAGGTCAGCCCAGTCTACAGAGAGAGTTCCAGGACAGGCTCCAAAGCAATACAGAAAATCCCTGTCTCGAAACCCCCGTCCCCCAAAAAGAAAAAATTTAGAATTTGTCTTTTAATCAAGACAATCTCTGATTAAAAGTTAAATAGCTAACTTTAAAGGCAGAGGTATTTTGTGTCAGGTATACTTTGGAAGGTCTTACCTGATCCATTTTTCCCCCTAAGCATCAAAGAATATCCTTCATTTCCTGGATACAGATTGACCACTAAACATGACAAAGTCTCTTGCATAACAAGCTTCTCTAACAAGTTCACATTTCTTCTTAATTTCTGCTTTAAAAAGAGGCAAAATTCACGAAATCAATATATTATAACCTTGAAAAACAATTCACTCACTATTGGTGTTCCTTCCATACTACAAATCCCAAATACTTGGGAACTGTCACAATTCACAGAAGAGTAATAATATCAACCAAATTTGTATCCACTAGCATGCTTTATGCAAATTAACTCACACCAGAAGCTGACTATACATGTATGTGCACCTGAAATATCAGCATTTAGAAGAGGCCAAGGCAAAAATATGTGAGTTCCATGTCAGCCTGGATCATAATTCATAGCAATACCATCTTTTAAACTGGTGGTTCTCAACCTGTGAGCTGCAACCTCTTGGGGGGAATGGGGGGGAGAACCTTTCACAGGGCAGGTGTTGCCTAAGACCATTGGAAAACACAGATATTTACATTACATTTGCTAAGAGTAGCAAATTACAGTATGAAGTAGCAAAGAAAAAAATTTTACAATTGGGGATCACCACATGAGGGACTATCAGCCATCAGGAAGGTTGAGAAACACCATTTTAAACAAAAAAGGACATGATAGCTTATTATAAGTCCAACACATGAACGGATAAGGCAAAAAAATCATGGTTACACTTGAAGGCCAGCTGGGACTACTCAATGAGACTATCTCAAATATCTCAAATATAGAAACAAATGAAAACATAAGAGGATTAAAAAAAAAAAAAAAAACCTCTGTAATACAGGTATGAACCGAGTTGGGAACCTCTTTAATTACACAGTGATAAAGACAAAATTCTTCCAACAACTTATAATCTACTTAGCTGTAAAGAAATTCAGCAAGTCTAATTAGCTGAAATGTTGAGCCTAAAAAAGGTAACTGGTGAAAGGAAGTCATTTCAGCTTCTTAAGAACCACCAAACTGTTTTTTAACATATATATGGAAACAAAATCCACAACTTTATAGATATGTTTTTACATGAAACCAACTTAAACATTAAAGTCATTTCACTCTGCCTTAGAAAAGATGTGAGTTAATAGATTTTTTTCAGTACTTTAAAAAAAGGGAAAGGTTATATTATATTAAATGTCTAGCTTTATAATTATAATTGTGTGTAAGGGGCATAAACATGTCAGGGGCTTCATAAAGGAACAATTTGTGGAAGCAGCTGGGCATTGGTGGCCTTTAATCCCATAAACCCAGCAATCAGGAGGCAGGTGGATCTTTGTGAACTAGAGGCCAGCCTGGTCTACAGAGAGTTCCAGCACAGGCTCCAGAGCAATACAGAGAGAAACCCTGTCTTGAAAAAACAACAACCAAAAAAGAAAAAAACAAACAAAACAAAACAAAACAAAAAAACCAAAAACAACATCAACAAAAAAATGTTAAGCAACAATTTGTGGAAGTCAGTTCTTTCCTTCCATTATATAGATCTTGGGAATCCTTCCTCAGGTTTCATGGCAAGTATCCTTACCAGCTGAACTATCTTATCTCACTGGTCCCAAGAACCATGAATTTCTGATCTAGCATCAACAGAGAATGAAAACACAATGCTCTCCAAAAAATGAAGGGGGGTGGTTAATGTACACTGCCTAGAAATGTCTTTCTTAAATGGACAGATGACATCTTAGGCTATAGGGCACAGCAACTGCTCAGCACTGGCTGTTAAATTAAAAGCAGGCAGACACAATATAGATGTCAAACTGGGCATGCTGACTCTCTTTACAGTCTTTATAATGTGTCTCTCTTACTTTTAGCTTCTAAGATGATGGATATAGAAGTTATGCAAATTGTTATGATGAGGTTGTAAGTATATACAAATTTCAACAAAAAATGTACTTTAAACATGCAATTTGGGAGCTGGAGAGATGGCTCAGTGGTTAAGAACACTAAATGGTATTCCAGAGGTCCCAAGTTCAATTCCCAGCAACCACATGATGGCTCACAACCATCTACAATAAGATCTGGTGTGCTCTTCTGGCCTGAAGGGATGATACATGCAGACAGAAGACAGAACACTGTATATACATAATAAATAAATCTAAAAGAAACAAACAAAAACAAAAAAAATGCAATTTGTTAGATCATCCTGGAATATAACATATGCAAAATATACTATATGTATTCAAAATTTAATGCTTTTCTCTAAGGTAAAGACTTTAAACATCACACATTACTGAACTGCTTTGTTTTGTTTTGCTTTTTGGCAAAGTGTTTAAATGCCATTCACTTTTAAAGATAAAACAGAAACTTACAAACACTTTTAACCTGAAGTTTTAAAATACTTCAAGAAGTTAAATTTCTGGGTGAACTGTCAACTGTTCAATGACTATTTTTAAATCCACATTAAAATTTTTTGTTAAGGCTAGGTAATGGTCATATGCACATTAATTCCATCACTCTAAAGGCAGGAGGATCCCAATGAGTTCCATGCCAGCATAGTAAAACCTGCATCTCAAACAAACCACATACAACAAAACTTTTCTTAATAAATTCCAACTTTGCTTCATAAGTGTCATTTTTTACTAACACACTGGAATCCTTCCCATATGTGACCCCAAAATCTCAAGATATGGGTTACTGAAATACTAGCTCAAGTCTGCAAAACCAGGTCTAAGAGGAAGGTAACAAATGACACACTGTGGCTTTGTTTAGGATATCCCATTACCCAGACCATTACTTAGACAGATTAGCCAGGGAATGGAATTGGGAATGGAATTGGGTCAGCCAAAGAACTGAATGGAGTATGGTTGAAAAAGATGTTCAAGCATGAAGATATAAATCACTAACTGCTTCAAACATAAGTTCTAAATTTTCCTCTTCTACCACAAGTCCAAAGTCTAATAATATAAAGAATTTATATTTACCTTAACCTCAGGTTCTTTTTCACATTCTTCAACATACAAGTCATACAGTTTTTGGAATATTGATTTTCTAGGAAAAAATAAATAAACAAGCTAAATAATCATCATAAGGTGAAATTGTTTGCTTTTCATTAATTAATATAGTACATTACCCCCAAATATATGACAAAACATTGATTTCAATGTTCCTATATCAATATAGCTAATTCCTGTACAATGCCAATTCAACATGGTAAAAGCATGTGTGCTACATTGCTGGGGTCAATTTAAGAATTCATACATAATACAGTCTGAGAATCTCAGGACTACCTAAAATGTTTGCGACCTGCACCTTTTTGGACTTTAGTTTCTGAAATAGAGCATTTACAGAAAGACATGGAAGACAATTTTATATACTTTTTTACTGTGACAGCATTCTAACTATATGTAATCTGTCACATAAGTTAGATGTAAAAACATGCATTTATGACATTTCATCATGATTCCTAAGTTCTAGATTTTGGAGTATCTCACATTTCCAGATGAGGGATAACCAACCTGTCCAAAACTGACAGGATTTGAAATGCCTAGTAAGAATACAGTAAGTGGTAGTTATCTCATTTCACTGACTCATAAATGCTACCAATTAAACAATCATACCTTCCACTAGACAGGTATTTCCGTTTAGGAGGTCTCTGTCGAGCACTTTCAACAATATACTGAAATAGAGAAGTTGGTCAAACACTTTATATTCAGCTTTTATATGAGTAACTATAGGTGTGTTGTACATCTACAAAAGGTTAGGCGGAAGAGTCCATTTAGTCTCCTAGACTCTGCCATGTGTGAACTTAACACCTTGTACACAGGTCATAAACAAAATTTAACTTTCACTAAGACTCAACCTAACATTTCAGTAGAGTAAATTGCAATACCACTGGACAAATACATTCTAAAAGTTTTATTACTAAATTTATATTTTTAAATTGCGCATCAGACAACAATGACCCATATTTTAAGATATTTCAGAGAAACTTATTAGGATAGAAAACTTTAGAAATCCTATGGTCACAGCTAAGCACTGAGCCATACTCCTGGAATCCAGTTGTAGAGAGGGAGGAGTGATGAGCAAAGAGATCAAGACCATGCTGGGGAAACCCAGAGAAATAGCTGACCTAAACAAGGGGGAGCTCATGAACCCTAGCCAGACAGCTGGGGAACCAGCATAGGACTGAACCAGACAGGAGACCTGGGCAGTCTATGAGGCTTCTGGTGGTGGAACCAGTATTTATCCCTAGTGCACAAAACAGACTCCCTCCAAGGAAGGCCTCACCCTCCCTGGGGAGTGGATCAGGGGTGGGATGATGAGGGAGGGGCATATGGGAATGGATCAAGGGTGGGGTGAAGGGGGAGGGGCTAATGGGAGGATGGGAGAGGGAACTGGGATTGATAAAAAAAACATTAAAAAAAAGAAATCCTATGGCCTTATTTAAATAACTTTATTCTACAGCCTAAAGAAGAATTTCACAGAACTGATAACCCATACATCATCCAGTTTTACATATGCACAGTAAACTTATTAGCACACTTAGCCTAAAATACTGTATTCTCTTTTAGATTACAAAAATTTCTTTTTCATGGAATTTGTCAGTTACAATCAGTCATATCTCACCTCTGCACGATCCAAAGCTTGTTCTAGAGCTTGCTGCTGCAAAAACAAATAGAGTATTTGGCAATATTAGTTATTTTCAGAAAAAATAATAAATAATTGACACTTCACTAAGTGCTTGTTTCATTTTCTGGAACAAGGACAATGCTTTATCTATCCCTCTCCACTATGCTCCAATGCATTACTGTTTTGTTTGTTCGTTTTTCTTTTTATGATTTTTTGAGCACTTGATCATTAAGTAAATAAAAAATGTTAAAATGGTTTCTACATTCAGTATCTGAGAGCTTGACATGCTTGTATCATGCATTCATTATTACTTTAAAATACTAAGGTATATCACCAATATGTACAAATAAAAGTTAAGAAACCAATAGTGACTATTTCCATTTTTTTTTCTAACAGGGTAGATATAAACAAACAAGACCTCCAAAGCAGGAAGATGATGTATATCATCAACTTTATTCAATTAGGTGAGTTAGATATGAGGCCACACCCTTAGCTCACTTTGTAGCCCAGGTTGGCCTTGAACTCACAGGGACCCTCTGACCTGAGTATCCCAAGTACTGGGATTACAGGTGTGACAAACTAAACCTATCTATATTTATTAATTTTAAAGCATGCAAGTGAAGACGTTTGGGGAAACAGTTCAAAGTGCCTGCCATATGATCAAGAAGAACAGAGTTCAATCTCCAGAATCCAAAGAAGCAAGACAGACTGGCTGGCACACAGGAGCCCAGTGATGGGAAGCAAACCTCAGGGGCCAGCATGGCCTACTCAGCCAGTTCTAAACCTAAAAGACTGTCTGAAAATAAAATGTGGGCAATGTTTGAGGATTAACACCGAAGTTATTCTCATTTCCTTACCAAACATAGATACCTACATGTGCAGAACATGCACACCCAAAAAAATAAACCCAACCCTCCCCCAGGTAATTTTCATTAATATCAACCTCTTTGCCAAAGATTCAGAAAAATGGGACAGAATTAATTTTTAACACATGGATTATCTGTGTGATTCAGATGTGATAATTCTACCATTGAATAGGCAAGACACCAGCCAGATATTTTTTTTGTAGGAAAAAAAAAATAGATGACTGCCAAGTTATCTGAGTATTTTTGTGCACTATTGTTTTTATGGAGCTAAAGGAAGAAAATACTGTAAAGCACAAATTTGAGCTTACCATTGCAGCCTAAGATACAGGTCCCAAAAGATTAAAAAAAACTTAGACGTGTTGTGGAAGTGGGGTGGAAATCATGTCTTTCTTATATACTGCAGAAAACAAAAAATGCAAGACTATTAGCATAATATTGCAAAAAGAAAGACTGTCATCAAAATATTACCCACTTATAAAATTAAACCAAAAGAAAAAGTACTAATGCCACACACACACTGATGAAAGGCATCTCTCACTAAGTAAGATAAAAAGTCTCAAAGTACAATTCAGTAACTCAAATTAATTTTCTTAACTAAGTTAGAAGGGAGGGTATTAAAAACTATCGCACAGAAGAACAAAGATATACTTCGTGTTATCTCTTTCATTCTGCTTGTAAATATAATCTACAAGAACCCTGTGAAAACTATTATAAACATTATCGACATTTCTATTTTACAGAGATCTCCATGCAAGGAACTCTCCTAAGTATCACAGACCTATGCATACATTCTGTCCCTTCTCAATGTGTAACCTTAGGTTGTACTCTACTCCAACCTCGGTTTTTTTAAGCAAAGAGATAACGATTTTTTTTTTTTAATTTTGATGTTAAGCTTATACCAATCACGGTATCCATCCGTACTCAATCTAACTTAAGTCCTTGCTCATCAGCTTGTGCACTTGGTGTCCTAACTAGGGACTCTGATGGCGATAAAAGATGGCTTCCAGGGTAGCCATCCATCAGCTACACTGATTTCCCCGATGAGCCTTGGGTCTCAACTACATTTTTTGTTTGTTTGTTTGTTTGGTTGGTTGGTTGGTTTTTTTAACCCAGGCTTTACCCTCAGAAAGCCAACCCCACAGAGAAGCAGCCGGCCTTTATTCAACAGTCACCCGGGACCCCGCCCCCCCGAAGAAGCGCTCCCCACCCCGCAGCGAGTTTGCACACATACCTGTGGCGGAGCCCAAAGGATAAGCTATGACTAAAGTGCAGGCGGACCGGGCCGAGTAGTACTGAGGGGCGTTCACGCAGGATGGCGGCCGCCGTGCCCGCCCAAGCCGGGATCTCCCGGACGCAGATCGACCTCTGCCCGCTCACCTCTGATCCGGACCCTTTCCGGACACTTGACCTATACCCCCAGCCCGGCCTCAGACATAGCCTCGGGCCTGCTGTAACGCCCACCCAAACCTCCAACCGCCACTTCCGGCGGCTGCGCTTCCGATTGGCGAGTTGAGCGTGGAAGGGGCGGGGCTTGAGGCGGTGCAAGGCCCGACACACCACTCACCTACACCCCCCCATCAGCCAGTTCCGGCGGCCGCTCTTCCGATTGGCGGACTGACTGGCGGGCGGAGTTGGAGGCGGGGCGGTTGCCGGAAGTTTTGGAAGGCGCTGATAGCTCTGCGGAGAGCCGCGGGATTTTAATGGCTTTATAGGCGCTTCGGGTATGGGCGGAGCCCGGAGCAAGTTGTCAGGCTTGTTTGAGTGGCACTGGAGAACACAAAAGACTACATCATAGTAAACAGAGTAGCTGGAAATGGGCTCGTTGGCAGACTGGTAGAATAACCACAATAAACATGCACATTTTATTCTGTGAGTGAGGACTTGATAGTCATGCTTTTACTGGAAAGTGACGGGACTATTAGTGTCCTTGTACCACTTTGTTAATGTTTCACAGCGTACCTGTGTCCCACCTGGACTGAGCTATTGTGGCAATAAAGATAGACCAAAGCTCCATCATGGCCCTTGCCCTGGTCAGTATATAATTAATATTATACATGTAGCAATGACTGACATGAAACTTGCTTTAGAGACCAGACCAGCCTTGAACTCATAGAAATCCACCTGCCTCTGTCTCCTGAGTGCTGGATTAAAGGTGTGGGCTACACAGTTTTTAAAGAGCAGTATCAGACAAAAAGCAGTTCTAACAGAGACCCACCCTCTATGGCCCTGAGGGTGCTTGCAATGCAGTTACTCATCCAGGGCCTTTCTCTCCTGTGTGGGTGGCTTTTTACTTTTGGAGTTGAAGGCTTGGGTTCCCAACTCTAACCTGGGTAGATAATATTTTCTTTATTTTCCTGTTTTGCCTTCTTCCCTAAGTCTTGTCCCTGTTGTCCTCCTTGATACTGAGTTTAAAGCATTCTCAGTGTGAATGGAAAATGAAGGCTGGGAGAGGTAATTACCATATTACCTTCATGTGTTGGGGTCCAGTCTGAATTGAAGATTGTGTAGAGGTCTTGATGATGGGATGTGGACATTTTGCTGCTCCCCTAGCCAGGGTCATGCCAGGCAATGCCTATAGACTGGCACCATGTGGTCAAATGTTCTAGACACTGAGATATGAAGCTCTTTGTTTGCTACCCAAGATGTATCTTGCTAATAGCTTGAGCCTATTGTGAGGGCCCTGTAATTCTACTGGCTGAGGCTCTTAAATGGTTTGTTTTCTGCTTCCCCATTTGAGGGGTTAAAAAAAAAAAAAAGAGTTGTGCAGTTAATAAACTTGGTGCCCTGCATCATCACCCCTTGCAGCCCTTGTGACCCCAGCTTTTGATTCTTTCCATTTGTTACCTCTTCATTTTTCTTTCAAATCTGATCTTTTTCTTGGGACCCCGTTGGAGATCTAATAAGGCTGGTCCAGGTTGTGTGTGGGTACGAGGTAGTAACAGTAAGGGAAGATGAACAAAAATATTCTTTCTTGTCTGTTTCCCCTTGCAAGATGCCCTCCACACTTCTTGTACCCAGATCATCTTGTATCCTCTCTGTGTTAGTATTTAGGCATTTTACTGGCCTGCCTTTGGAGTTCTGACAAGATATGCCCTCAGCTGCTGCCACTAAGAGCACCGCCTATGCATATTCAACAAGATCCCTTTTTTAAAAAAAGGCCCTGCCCACTTCCCATCTCCCTTCTCTCTCTGTTTTTTATCTCTTTCTCTTTCTTTCTCTCTCTTTCCTCTCTTTCACGGCTTCTGTCCCCAGAGGTAAGTCTCTCCTACCTCATCTTTCCCCTTTTAACAATCTCCTTTCTTTTCCCTTAATAAAAAAAACAAAACAAAACAAAACAAACAAACAAACAACAAAAAAAAAAAACGCTCCACTTGATCTCTTTGGCATGGTGTCTTTCTCTATTGAGCCACTTTTTTTTTTTTTTAATTACAACACTCTGTTAAGCATTTCTGCTGAACCCCTGATGTCTGCAAAATAAAGTCTTCATCATTGATATTGCCATGGGTATCCATCAGAGAACACTGGCTGTTCAAGATCCCAAGGTAGCCCCAGATTTTTCTGAGTGGGCTTTTAAGTACAAAATCCATGTTCTAAATTGACACGCTTCAGTTAGAAAGAATAGTTAGCCAGAAGTGAAACCGCAGAAGCCAAAAGCAAGGTTAGTAAATTTATGGACTTTCCCAGAACTGGGACTTTGATGGATTAGGTCTTTGCTTTCATTTTTTGGCAGGGCATTCTGTCTCCATGCTGGATTGTATGGCCTGAACATTACTTGCATTATTATGTCAGATGTGGTAAAGTGGTGGGTGTCTGCTATGGTCTGGGGTCCTGTCTCAACATGACATTGAGGCTCTGCACTCTGTTCCACTTGTGATTCCTGACTGAGTCTTCCACCGTTGCCTCTTTTATGCACTGGGTGTCTATTTCCTGTCATCTTATATTGTCATAAACTTACTTTTTCATTGTTACTTTCCAGACAGGCTCTCCCAGGATGTCCCCCAAATTGCTATGTATCTGAAGGCACCTTGAACTCATGATTCTACTGCCTCCAGCTCCCAAGGTGCAATCATTTCAGGGATTTGCCATCACACCTGGCCTCAAAGTGTGTGTGTGTGTGTGTGTGTGTGTGTGTGTGTGTGTGTGTGTGTATTCTATTGGCTTCATGGGTATTTCATAGGTGGAACTGAATTTTACTTATTGCTTTGCATCAGGAAAGTTACAATGTCATTTTTCTCTTTGTGACTGTGGTTGTTTGAAAGAAAATGGCCCCCAAAGAAAGCGGCACTAGTAGGAAGTATGGCTTTGTTGGAATAAGTGTAGCCTTGTTGGAGGAAGTGTGTCACTGCAGGGGTGGGCTTTGAGGTCTCTTGCTCAAACTATGCTCAGTGTGGTAAACAGTTCATTTCCTGTTGCCTGTGCATCAAGAACTCTCAGCTTCCTCTCCAGCACCACATCTGCCTGCATGCCCACCATGTTTCTTGCCATGAAAATAATGGACTAAATCTCTGAACTGTAAGCCAGCTGAAGTAAATGTTTTCCTTTATAAGAGTTGCTGTGGTCGTGGTTTCTTGTCACAGCAATAGAAACCCTAACTAGGACAGTCACATGAAAATTATTTAGCAGATTTGGGAATTAAATCTGTTTAGCCACTAGAGGTCAGAATTTCACTTATAAAAATAAGTAATACACTGGTTTTCATTACAGGGTTAACTTTTGACTTATTTGGCACAAAAATTGTTTTTTTGATAGATCCATGTATTTGTCAGTGTTCTCTAGAATAACAGGACTTAATGAATGAATCTCTCTCTCTCTCATTCTCTCTCTCTCTCTCATTACAATGACAGGCTACAGTCCAGCTAAGCCTATGAATGGAAGGTCTAAGAATCCAGAAGTTGGTCAGTCCATGAGGCTGGATGTCTCAACTGGTTTTCAGTATACACTAGAATCCTGAAGAAGTAGGCTCTAATGCCAGTTAAAGAATGGACTTGCTAGCAAGGCCAGAACAGGCAGGCAGAGAGCAAAAGCTTCCTTCTTCCATGTCCTTTTACAGACTCCCAGAAGAAAGTGTGGCCCAGATTAGAGGTGGGGTTCCTCAGAACAAAGGATCTGAAATAAAGGTGTGTCTTCCTATCTTAAAGATCCAGATTAGAAGTGGGTCTTCCTACTTCAGATTAAGCAAAAAAAATCTTTCACAAGTGTGCCCTCCATTTGGGGGTTTTAGCTAATTCCAGATGTTGTGGAATATTAGTTTAAGATATGTTACAGGCATTTATGCCTTGGAATATTTATTTAATTATGTGATTATGTATTACATTCTTTTATGTTGTACGTGTTTAACTCTGTAAAGCTGTGTTACTTTGCTTGTCTAAAACATCTGATTGGTCTAGTAAAGAACTGAATGACCACTAGCTAGGCAGCAGGTGGGGCTGGCAGACAAAGAGAATAAATAGGAAGAATAATCTAGAGATGGGGGATGATCAAGAAAAGGATAAGGAGAGGAGGACACCAGGTGCCAGCCACACAGCCAGCCTTGGAATAAGAAGGAAAGGAAGACATACAGAAAAAAGAAAGATTAAAAAGTCCAGAGGCAAAACTTAAAGAGAACTGGGACAATTTTACTTAGAAAAGCTGGCTGGAAATAAGCCAAGCTAAAGTAAGTAAGAATAAGTCTCTGTGCATTTATTTGGGACTAGGTGGCAGGCCCCAAAGAACGAAAACAAAACAAACAAAGAAACTACAAGATGTAGTCCAATTGACAACCAAGAATAGCTATCACATTCTGAGGATTGCACCCAGGGCCTCATGTATGCTACCCAAGTGCCCCACCACAGATTGTATGCCCTTCCCTGTTTAAATTGTTTTGAGACGAGGTCTTACTGAGTTAATCAGGCAGACCCTAAACCTACTCTGTAATGTAGGCAGGCTGTGAAGGTTTTCCTCCTCCTGCTTCAGCCTCCCAGTAACCAGGACTGCTGGCCTGTATCACATTGGCCTTGAACTTCACTCAGCCTTCCTCAACCTCCAGAAGAGTTGGGGCTTCTGATGTGTGTGCCACCTTTCCTGGCCCCAGGGGCACTTTTATGGATTATGGTTTTTGACCAGGGCATGGTAGCACATACGTGTAATCCCAGCACTTACAAGTTGGAGCTAGGAGGATTAGAAGTTCAAGGAGTCTTGGCTATATAGAATGTTCCAGGCCAGCCTGCACAGAATGGGAGATCCTGCCCAACTCAAAAAAATCTTATATGACATTTTTTTCCAGTACTGGAGATTGAACCTATGGCTTACTATGTATAAGGAGATCTACCACTATGTATAAGGAACTATATTCATAGTCTTTTTTTTTTAAAGTAATTAATTGTTGTGGCAGAGTCTCTGTCATGAGATTATCCCAGACTTCATGAGCCTGCAGTTCCAGCCTCCTAAGTGCTAGGATTAGGCACACCCGCTCATCTACCTCCCTTAGTATAACTGATTACTGACAAAT